ATATGGATTTGGAAACCATCATGGGCTAGTCACATTCTTGTTGGCCAGGATCAGCTAATGCTCAATAGAATTACCATCTGCCAGGGAATGTTCTATTTCATTTTATCCTTATGACATACCCTATGAAGTTAATGTAATTATTATCCCCTTTTATGGGTGGGAAAGCTGAGAATCGGTGGGAAGGTGGAAGTTTTGAACATAAGCAGTCTTATGGCAGAAGCCATATGCTTAACTGCTCTGCTAGTTATCTCTCCCTGTCTACGGGGAATTGGTCCAGAACCATCCCCACACACTGGTACCCAAATCTGAGGACACTCAAGACCCTTTTTGATACTGGGGATTGAATCCAGCGGCACTTTTTTTTTTTTTTTTTTTAGTACCAGTACTTGAACCCAGGGGCACTTAACCACTTTCCCATCCCTTTTCATTTTGTTTATTTAGATACAGGGTCTCACTGAGTTGCTTAAGGCCTCGCTAAATTGCTGAGGCTTGCTTTGAACTCACAATCCTCCTGCCTCAGCCTCTCGAGCCACTGGGATTACAGGCGTGTGCCACTGTGCCTGGCTCCAGGAACATTTTACCACTGAGTTTGTTTTATTTGGAGACAGGGTCTTAGTAAGTTGCTGGGGGTCTCACTAAATTGCTGAGTCTGGCCTCCAATTTGTGTTCCCAGAGGCACACTACCACTGAGCTATATCCCCAGCCTTTTAATTTTTTTTTTTTCTAGTAAGAGTCTCACCAAGTTGCCCAGGCTGGCCTTGAATTTGCAATACTCCCGCCTTACCTCCTGAGTTCCTTGTATTACAGGCATGTGCCACTGTGTGCCTCCTCCCCTATACTTTAAATCATCTCTAGATTACTCAAACCTAATACAATGTAAATGCTATGTAAATAGTTATCCTATATTGTTTAGGAAATAATGGCAAGAAAAAGTCTGCACGTTTAGTACAGATGCAATTTTCCCCAAATATTTTTAATTCATATTTTATTTTATTTTTTAAAAATATTTTTTAGTTGCCAGTGGATTTTTTACTTTATTTCTTTATTTATATGTGGTGCTAATAATCGAACCCAGGGCCTCACACATGCCAGGCAAGTGCTCCACCACGGAGCCACAACCCCAGTCCCCAATTCATAGTTTATTAAATCCACAAACACAAAACCTGTGAGTGTGAAAGGACAATTTTAACTGTCTCTTCAAATGGTTGAATCAAATCTTTGTCACACATGTGAGAACCTTGCATTCAAAGGGGCTAGAATGGATTAAGAAAGTGGAATTGAGTAGGGCATGGTGGTTGACACCTGTAATCCCTGTTTCTCAGGAGGCTGAGGCAGGAGGATCACAAGTTTAATGTCAGCCTCAGCAATTTAGGGAGACCCTGATTCAAATTTTAAAAAAGGAAAAAAAAAGCGCTGAGGATATAGCTCAGTGGTAGAGAGTGTTCTGTACTACTACTCAGCATTCAATCCCTAGTACTGAGACAGACAGACAGACAGAGATTGTTTGCTGAAACCCAGCCCCAAACTTACATCCTGCACTGCAAACCTCATGGGTGCTTAATTAGGTCAATTTCATTTTGCATTTTCTTCCTTTCTCTGTCCCACCTCCCTCCCCTTCAATCTCCTTCCTCTACTCCACTGATCTCCCCTCTATTTTTGTGGGACCACCCCCACTAAAATCATCATACTCTCGTGATACAGCCACATCAATGTTTATAGCAAGCAATCCACAATAGCCAAATATGGAACCAGCCCAGGTGTTTGTTAACAGATAAATGAGGGGCTGGGGATGTGGCTCAAGCGGTAGCGCGCTCGCCTGGCATGTGTGCAGCCTGGGTTCGATCCTCAGCACCACATACAAATAAAGATGTTGTGTCCGCTAAAAACTAACTAACTAAATAAGTAAATAAATATTTAAAAAAAAAAAAAAGTGATGACTTTGGGGCTGGGGATGTGGCTCAAGCGGTAGTGCGCTCGCCTGGCATGTGTGCAGCCTGGGTTCGATCCTCAGCACCACATACAAATAAAGATGTTGTGTCCGCTAAAAACTAACTAACTAAATAAGTAAATAAATATTTAAAAAAAAAAACAGATAAATGAATAAAGAAAATGTGAGCTGTGCTTGGTGGCACACGCTTGTAATCCCAGCAGCTTGGAAAGCGAAAGCAGGAGTTTAAAGCCAGTTTCAGCAATTTAGCAACGCTCTAAGCAACTCGGTGAGACCCTGTCTCTAAATAAAATATAAAAAGGCGGGGGGGTGCTGGGGTTGTAGCTTAGCAGTAGAGTGCTCACCTATCCCATGTGAGGCCCTGGGTTCGATCTTCAGCACCACATAAAAATAAATTAATTTTGAAAAGGTCCTAAAATATATATATATATAGGCTGGGGATATGGATCAGTGGTTAGGTGCCCCTGGGTCAATTCCTGGTACCAAAAAAAAAAAAGAAAGAAAATTTTGTATGTATACATAATAGAGTTCTACTTAGCCATAATATGAGTGAAATTTTGGGCATTTGCTGGTAAATGGATGGAACTGGAGAATATCAAGCTAGACTCAGAAAGTCAAGGGTCAAATGTGGATGCTACAGCAAAATGATGGAAAGAGGGGGCATATGAATATACACAGTGAATTCCACTGTTTAGTATTTTTAAAAAAACAATAAATAAGTAGAAGGAAGATCAGTATAATAGAACAAGGGGAACAGGGGGAGGGAGAAGGGGAGGGAAAGAGAAAGCACTGGAAACTGAAATGAAGCAAATTATATTCCATGCATATATGATTGTGTCAAAATGAACCTCACTATTATGTATAATTTTAAATGCACTAATAAAAACATTTAAAAAAAACCCAAAATACATGAATACTCAAGTTAGCAACATGAGTATGCATCATGTCGCTCTTTGGTGAGGCATCTTTAAGAGGTTTGAATTCACTTCCAAAGGTGCTTTTATTTTTTGTAGTGAGGATCCAACCTAGGGCTTTGTGCTTTCATAAACTCTACCACCAAGCCACACCCCCAGCCCTGGAGTTGCCTTCTTTATCCTGCTTAGAGACAGAGTCTTGCTATGATGCCCAGGCCAGCCTCAAACTCCTTAGCTCAAGTGATCCTCCTGCCTCAGCCTCCCAAGTAGTTGAGATTACAGGTGCACACCACCATGCCTGGCTTCTGCACCTATGTATTATTCTTTTGCTGCCTATTTTAGTCAGCCTTTTTGCTGTTGTGACTAAGAGACTTGACAAAAACAATTAGAGGTGGAAAAGTTTATTTGGAGGTTCACAGTTCCAGAGGTCTCAGTTCATAGATGGCAACTCCATTGTTCTGGGCCCTGAGGTGTGGGAGAACATCATGGAGGAGGAAAGCGGCTTTGGACTTGGCACCTTAGAGAGAGGGCTCCTCTCAACAAGGACAAAATATATACCCTAATAGCAAACCCTCAATGACCCACCTCCTTCAGCCACACTCTACCTGCCTACAGCTACCATCCAGTTAATCTCTATCAGGGGATTAACACACTGATTAGGTTAAGGCTTTCACAACCCAATCACTTCACCTCTGAATTTTCTTGCTCATGTGTAATCACGTGAGCTTTTGGGAGATACCTCATTTCTAAACCATAAAACTCCCAGTTAGATCTGGTTATTATAAAGTTATCAGGACCAGTAATGTAAATTAATATTAATTTAATCAACTGATGGCTCATAATTATGATTAATAATGTAATGGATCTTGTTCTACTGTATTGTGTAAGTTATTCTCCCTCCAGCCTCACCTTTCACAATTCTCTCTCCCATGTTCCCTTGCCATTACTTGAGATGTATACACACCCACCCCAGGTTTTCTCACTTTCTGCTCTCTTCCTGGAAAGTCTTTTTCTCCCTCTCTTCTAATCCCTCTCTATCCCTTTTTTGTCTTTCTGAGATCCTTCCTAAATCCTCCCTCAGACTAGTATAGATGGCCCTTCTATGAGCCCCCACAGCACGCTGTGCTTCCCTTCTCAGAGCCTCTGTCACACCACATTGTAATCATTTACTTATTGGACTCCTGAAATTTGATCAACTGTTTGATAAGGAGCTACATACCTTTTTTTTTTTTTCTAGACAGAATCACATTATGTTGCCCAGACTGGCCTCAAACTCCCAGGCTTAAGCAATGCTCTTGCCTTAGCTTCATGAGTAGCTGGGACTACAGGCACACCCAGCTAGGAGCCAGCCCTATGTCTTTGTCACTGTTTCCAAAGTTCTTAGCACCCTGCTGGGCCCATATTGAATAATAGTTCAATCAGTGTTGACCTGCCAGTAATCCTAGCTACTCAGGAGATTGAGGCAGGAGGATTGCAAATTTGTGGCCAGCTTTGACAATTTAGCAAGACTCTGCTCAAAATAAAAACTAAAAAGGGTTAAGGTTGTAGCTCGGTGGTAAAGTACCCCCCGGGTTCAATCTCTAGTATCATAAATTTTAAAAATGAACAAATAAATAATTGTGTTGAATGAACAAGAGATCTACCTGGCAGCAATCAGCACTACCCCCAACCTACTTCCCTTCAGCGTGTCCTAACCCCCACATTCCAAGGAGGTAAACTTCTTAAAATCCAAAAGCTGCTGAGCACAGAATGAGACTGAACTAAAGTGGATGGACTGGCTACCTGATCTCTGTGAGAACTTTCTGTGTGCCCTAGAGATATTTCTGTCCAGTTCACAACTGGCTCATCCACTGTGGGCTTACAGAGAGTGTGTGAGGGATTATTGCTGTTGTTGTTCTCTATAAAATGGCAAATAAGCCTCAATCCCCTGGAGGTCTTTATGGAGATATATGGAGGTTTTTTTGTAAACTGCAAAGGGCTACATGTAGCACTTAATGATGAACACAGGAAATGTGTTGCTCTTTGTCTTAACTCTTTTCAAGACCCCATGCAGACAAGGACCCTCCTGTTTATACAGTATTACCTCTTGCAATCAGGTTACAATTGATTGACATTATCACTTTCTTTATATCTGGCAGATTCCCAGCCTGCAGTATCATGCTGTTCACCATAGAGACCTGAGGAGCCCCCATCTCATTGGTATCATATTTACAAATGAACCCTTAAAGTGGATTATTTTGCAGATGGCTGATCTCATCTATTCAATGCTGATTCTATTAGTTCCAATTTCAGAATGTGGCATTTTCTGACTTTGTCCCCTTAAGCACAAATAAAAAGTATGGATTTTTTTTGTTTTCAGAAGTAAAAAAAATACTTGGTATGCTGGCAGAAGAGTAAGAAAACCAGGTAGAAGAAAGGGAAGGTTGTAGGGGAACTACAGGATGTACCTCTTATTCATTCATCTGTTTGGCAGTACACACATGTGCCAGTGGGTGGGTCAAGTGCAGGGGCTAGAGCCATGAACAAGCTTAGCCTTTTGGACCTCACACTCTCCTTGAGACAGACAATTAAATAGATGATTTTATTTATTTATGTAGTTATTTGTGGTACTGGGGATTGAACCAGGATCTCACACATGTTAGGAAGCACTCTACCTGTGAGCTGTATCTCCAGCCCTTTTTATTTCTAGACATGGTCTTACTAAATTATTGAGGCTGGCCTCAAATTTGGGATCCTTCCACCTCAGCCTTTTGAGTAGTTGGAATTATAGTTATGTGCCACTTGTGCCCTGCATAAATAATCAATTTTAATATGGTGTGCAAAGTCTATGATGGGAAGAATAGGAAAACTGTGCATGGGCTTCTACCTTCCCAGAGATTTTCCATTGGAAGCAACATCTCAGCTGAGATCTTAAGAATTAGTCAATCAGAAAAAAAAATTGGAAAGAGAACAAGCAGGGATCAGAATGGAAGGAAAATGTTCTAGGAGGAAATAGTAGTGTCCAAAGAATCTGAAGATAGAAGGGAACGGGTGAATTTGAGATCCTAAAAGAAAATCAGAAATAATAAAAAAGAAAAGAAAATCAGAAATAGAAGCATCATGCAACAGGATGAGGGAAGAAAATAATGAATTCTGTTTGGGATATGCTGAGTTTGAGACATCTGGGGACCATCCAAGAGGAGATGTCCAGGTGGCAGTTGACCATGTGTCTCACATCCAAGAAAGAAGATAGGATGGGCAACAATTAATTGGGGGATGGGAACTATCGTGTTGTCCTTTTATCTTAGGATCACCATGAGGAAGGCTTGCAAGGAGCCCAAAGAATTTGGGCTTGATTCCACAGGCAGTGCATTTGAACAAAAGGTTTTGAAGAGAAACTGACACAATTCAACCTGAGTTCTGGGAATTGCTCAGTAGTGTGTGAAAGAGAGATTGGGGTGGAAGCAGAGTTAACAGCTCCCCAGCTGCTTCAGCAGCTGAAGCAGGTGGAGAAGGAGGGCCCACATGAGGGGTACTGAGGCAGCATACTCTGTAGGACCAGGACAGCTTTCTGGGCCAAGAAGCATGACATACAGTGGTGTGCTGTAACTGACTTATACCAGTTTGTCAGAGCCAGTTGTTGAATTTTCAGGAATTTTCTGAGCCACTTGTTAAAAATAGCCATTATTAAAAACTAAAAACAGGGGCTGGGGCTCAGAGGTAAAGCACTCACCTAGCATGCATGAGGCACTGGGTTCGATCCTCAGCACCACATAAAAATAAAATAAAGTTATTGTGTCAACCTATAACTAAAAAATAAATATTAAAAAAACCCAAACTAAACTAAAAGCAGCCAGGTGCAATGGTGCATACCTGTAACTCCAGTGGCTTGGGAGGATGAGGCAGGAGGATCTTGAGTTCAAAGCCAGCCTTAGCAATGGTGAGGTGCTAAGCAACTCAATGAGACCCTACCTGTCTCTGAATAAAATTTAAAATAGGGCTCAGGATGTGGCTCAGTGGTCGAGTGCAACTGAGTTCAACCCTGGTATCAAAAAAAAAAAAAAAATTAAGGGGCTGGGGATGTGGCTCAAGGGTAGCGCGCTCACCTGGCATGTGTGTGGCCCAGGTTCGATCCTCAGCACCACATACAAACAAAGATGTTGTGTCCGCTGAAAACTAAAAAATAAATAAATAAATATTAAAAAAATTAATTAAAACTATTTAAAATTTTTAATCTATAAACTTACAATGAAGCAAATTATATAAATATAAATGTAATAAATACTAAAAGTTCATTATTTCCTGGGGCTGAGGTTATGCCTCAGTGGTAGAGTGCATGCTAAACATGCACAAGACCCTGGGCTCAATTCCCAGCACAAAAAATTATTTAAAGAAAAAGATACTTCACTACTTCCTAATTATCTTACTACATCTTACTATTATCTATGTCCTTGAGATTATTCATACCTGTTGCATCTGTATGGGGGAAATGCTATATAATGGTATGCTATGGTACATCTCTTGCCATCTCCCTATTCAATGACATCATGTCAGTCACTTGAAATCAGCCACAAATTGGCAAACACTACAAATCAGAGTTTGATTAACTGTTTTGCTGATGGAAGTGATGGAGAAATGCTTAAAATGGCAGATTATTGCCAGGGATGATGGTGCATGCCTGTAATCCCAGCTATTTGGGAGGCTGAGGCAGGAGCATAACAATTTAGTGAGTGCCGGGTTTCTGTTCTCAAGACTAAAAGGCTCAGGGGTTACTCCAGTTGAACTGGGCTAACTGGGCTGCCCGAAATAACCACACAAGAGACACAAATACCTTTTTCATTGGGGTCGCTGTGATGGCTCCTCTGACCTTAAGGAAGAGAGAGACATGGCCCTTTCCTGTAGCTGCAGTTGTTTCCTGCTGTGGTGAGAGGGCAGTCGCTGTTAACTAGGTCTCTGTCTGTCACTTGGGTTCAGATCTAAGCTGGACTCGGGGAGCAAAGCAGTCATGGGGGCAGGAGACCACTCTCAGAAGGGGTGAAGAATTATGCCTTTGTACAGGTGGGGGAGTAAGATTCTGTGCCTCACCTCTGTTGGCCCCTAAGTTTTCTCCTGATGGCCCCTCTGCAACTGTGCCTGTCTTAGGTTGTCCCTCCCTTGAGGAATCTTACCCGTCATTGACTAACCAGCCATCCTCCGGGGCCAAACAGGGTGATATGGAGTGTGCAAGGCTTTGTCTCCTTGATAGATAATGCCCCCGTGGTCTCCATACCAGAATTTACCTTAGGATCAGCAAACTCAGGGTTCTTCTCCATGGAGGGCCCAGCTCACAGCACTGGGCTGGTGAGGCTGCGTTCAGGAAGGAAGGAGAAAGGCCATAGATAGACAAAAGTAACATTGTGACAAAGCCGAGAGACACAGATAGTTGAAGAGGAGAGCAGTGCTAATAATTTGCTTCATTGTAAGTTTATAGATTAAAAATTTTAAGTAGTTTTAATTTTTTTTTTTTTTTTTTGGTACCAGGGTTGAACTCAGGGGCACTCGACCACTGAGCCACAGGGCATGATCCCTCACAGAGAACTAGCCCTTAGTTGGTGTTACTTAACATGTGGTTTATTCCAACACTGTCTTTTTCTCAAAAGATACTTCCAGACAGCCTGTTTACTATATAATCAATATATAATTGACCATTATAGACAGTACAATTAATCTAGTTATATGAGTGGACTTTCCAGTCCACACTGTAAGGCACATTAAAGGTGGACCTGGGAAATGGGTCCATACAAGTCTTTTCATAATTTTTACTTACCTGACAAGCTTGTGAAGCTGCATGGCTATAAATTCTGTAGCTGGAAATTTACTTTTCTGTGGCAGGTTTCTCAGTCATGACCATGATGACTGGTTTAAACTCTCCTTTGATATCTGATTTAATTTACTGAATCATGTTCAGTAACATTAAGACTGTCAATATTACAATTTAAGAAAAAATTTAAAAATATTTTGTGAAATCTAGTGTCTCTCTGGGGTCCTGTATTCCCCCTTTTCTTTATTTAATAAAATTGAGTAAAGGCTTGGCATGGGGCTGGGGTTGTGGTTCAGCGGTAGAGCGCTTGCCTCACATGCACAAGGTCCTAGGTTCGATCCTCAGCACCACATACAAATAATAAATAATAAAGTTTAAAAAAAAAAGCTTGGCATAAGCCGTAGTATCATTAGTTTAAGTTATAGATAATAGTACAAGTATTTAAATGATAAGAATAGATTTATCTTTTATTATTATAATTTTCCAATATAGACTAATAGATTCAGCCTAACAATTTAGAAAGAACCCTCAATCTCTTTTTGAGAGAAGGTCTCAAAATATTTTAGAATACTATCCTTTAAATAGATATCTTTCAATTGTCTTTTAAAAAATATGATTAAGGTTATTTCCCAGTGTAGGGAGCACTATATAAATCGTACTGTATTTTTTATGGTCAATAGGACAGTCAGAGAACTTATGTAACCTTTATTGCTCAAAAGTAACATACAACTTTAATTTGGAGAACCTCAGTTCTAATAAACAAAATGTAAGAATCAAAGTGTCTTTGAATCAATCAAATTTAGTCTCCAAGGACAATTATCAAAATCGGGATCTAAGTCAGTAGTTCAATATATTTAGTGCTTAATCAAGGATGTGAATTTATTTACCAAAATTAATCTTTGTCTTAAACAATAAGAATCGTTAGGCAATAAAGACCTTCCTTTAAGGAAATAAACTTAACATTTTAATAGGTTTTTATCATGTCAAAATATGGACAAAAATCTTAGCTTACATCAGTATAGTCGAATTAGGAAAATAGCCTGAAATATCCTTAAATTAATCATTTAACATTTTTATAGTCAGTCCACTACAAATAAATCTCTTTTTTAATTGTTTTAACTTTCTTTATATCATCTGGTTAGATAATGATATAAAAATCTTTTTATTTAGGAAAATACTTTTATCATTAAAATCTAGAATATAAAGACCTTATTTTACCCAAAGATGTTCTTTTTTTTTTTTTTTTTTTTTAGGATATCCAATGTGTGCTTCCTCTCTGTTGAAGTATCTTTTTCTTCTAGAATTTTTTCTAGTTATACCTTGGAACAATTTTGAAAACCTTAGAATCTATAAACAAATTATTATACTTTGATAAGAAATATAAATGAAAATATAGTTAAAATCCTTAGATATTTATGCAGACAGAATTATTTTTATTATCTTATA